GTGTGTGTGTGTGTGTGTGTGTTTGTGTGTGTGTGTGTATGTGTGTGTGTGTGTGTGCTCATGTTCTTATGTGTGCCCTCCCTCCTGTTTGTGGACACAAACCTAGTCAGCCAGCTTCCTGCTCCTATTGACATGCCACGCCCTTTCTGCCATTATTGACTCGATTCCTCAGGAGCCATAAGCCAAAACAAACCCCTTTCTTCCCTAAGTCACTGTTGATCACCATTTGTTTGGTTTTTTTTAAGATCTATTTATTTATCATGTATACAGTGCATGCCAGAAGAGGGCACCAGATCCCATTACTGATGGCCATGAGCCACCATGTGGTTGATAAGAATTGAACTCAGGACGTCTGGAAGAGCAACCAGTGCTCTTACTCTCTGAGTCATCTCTCCTGCCTCACCTAAGGCCTGATGTGCTGACTTTAACCCGCTGTACCGTTCCTTTCTAACGCTCTCCAGCTGCTGGGTTCTATCATGGTCTGTAGGCACTTTCTCCCAACGAGCCTCATTCCTGAGGGCAATTCCATGCCAGCTCTTTTCATGAACCAACAACCTATGCCATTCTCCTTTTCCTTTATTTAACACTATGAAGCCCACCATAATTTTGGAGCCAATAGGCACAGACCCAAATCCCAGTTAGATGCCTGCCAGAATATGATCTTGGGAAATAACTTCAGCTCTTAGACCTTTGGTGCCCTCAGCAGCAGGATGGGAGGGTTTAACTCAGAACTTTTGTGGAAATTGGTAAGGCACTGAACACAGGGTCAGTGTGAAGCTTGTGCTCAGGACCAAATACCTCACCACCAACCCTGGAGCGGCTGAGAACACAGTCCATGCTCTGCTCTGTGGAATATGTGGGTAAAAATGGAAAAAACAAAAAAACAAAAAACAGGTGATACACGAAAGAAACAAGGGTGTCATTCACACAGGACAGAAGAATGAGTTCTCTGTCACAGAGTCTATGCTTTTCTATCTCAAGATACTCTCACCTCCTCCTGCATCTCGTCTGTGGTTGAAGCCTCGAAGTCCATACCCCAGAGAAGCTTCCTTTCCCACCCTCCCTGGCAGATAGGTCAAGGCCAGACAACACCCAGAGGGCCTCAAAAGACAACTGAGACCCAGGAAGAGTATTGCTTCTTTAGACAGAAAATTTTTATTTTTGCTTTGGAGGGTGGTTGAGACAGGGTCTCACTATATAGCCTTGGTTGTCCTAGAACTCACTATGGAGACTGGGCTGGCCTCAAACTCACAGAGATCAGCTTGCTTCTGCCTTCTGAGTGCTGAGTTTAAAGGCGTGAGCCACCATGCCCAGCCTGGATAGAAAATTTTTTAAAATGCTGAGCTTGCACTTCCCTATCTGTTCTTCCTCAGGTCTGGAAAGGAGGGTGTACTGGATGTGGCGTCTGGAATGGCAGACACCGTCCCGCTGCCAAGAGACACAATTACCAGGGAAGGTTCATATAGGTGATCTCAAAGCAACTGGCTCTAGCCTGAGCTACTTTGACAGAGAGGAACAGAAGCACTCTTTGTTTGTGTCACTGGGCCATCTAGACATGTACGAGGATATATCAAACATGACCAGATATACTGACATGTTAACCAAGAGCAGCAAAGCCAGAATTGGGCTGAGGGGAGAAGAAAAAATGCTGGGCCCAAGCAGGCAGAACACCAGCCCAAGGCTGAGCAGACCTCAGGAGGAAGAAGTGGGCCCTGCCAGGAAGGGCTAAGAACCACTCTGCAGAAGGTGGGTGTCTCTGCCACCCTTCTGCTTCCTCAGCAGACCACTGTGGTTCAGAACTGTTCCCTGAACCTCTGCTCCCCCAGCAATTCTTAGCCTGGAGTCTCCCAGAAGGCTTTCAAACTTGACTGGCTGGGCCTGCTGGTCCATACCTTTAGTTCCAGCAACTGGGAGGCAGAGGCAGATGCAGCTCTGAGTGGGAGGTCAGCCAGGGCTACACAGTGAGACCCTGTCTCAAAACAAAAACAACAAACATGCAGTTGGTTGTTTACTCTTAACCCCTTGTCTCTTTTGAGGGGCTCCGCCACCCAGCACCCAAATAAATCATACACGGAGAGACTAATTCTTGCTTATAAACACCTGGTCTTAGCTTGGCTTGTTCCTTGCCAGCTTTTCTCAAATTATCCCATCTACCTTTTGCCTCTGGGCGGTTTCCTTTTCTTCTGTAAATCTTACTTTCACTCTTATTCCATGGCTGACTGGGTGGCTAACTCCTGGCGTCCTCCTACCCTCGTTCTCTCATTCCTTTTTCCTCTCTCTCCTTCCAGATTTCTCTACCTGTTTATTCTTTCTGCCTGCCAGCTCCGCCTGTCTTTTCTCCTGACCTGCTTATTGGCCATTCAGCTCTTTATTCGACCATCAGGTGTTTTAGGCAGGCAAATTAACACAGCCTCACAGAGTTAAACAAATGCAGCATAAACAACATGTTCCACAGCATACCTTAAAGTAATATTCTACAACCCGAACACCTAAACTTTACAAGACTGGGGCTGTAACTCAATGGTAGGGTACTTGCCTAGCAAGCATGGGGCTCTGGGTTTGTCTCCTAGCACCATAAAAATACCTCTTTACTGAATCTAATACTGAGGACAGGGAGAAGTGTCCTTTAATGTCCCTCTGATGGTTCCCAGCTCAGCCTAGGGCCTCATACTCTCTGCTAAGCAGAAATCATCTGGGCAGGCGTGATGTGGGGGGCCAAGGTGGGTCGCTGCCTCAGTGACCCTCCAGGTGGCACGGCTGACTCCACCACCTGCCCCCATTTGTAAAGCAGAGGTCTTACCAAAGTTCGGTTTGGAAACCATTTGCTTAACATGTTTTGGCACCTGGGCACTTAAGAGGAACAGATTCTTAGCCACAAGGCAGAACACTCGCCTTCCTTCCTGCCCAAACCACAGAACAAGTGACCTGAGACAAGCACGTGACTTCTTCAAACCCAGCCTCAGGTTCCTCAGGACGACTTACCAAATAGTTTAGTCAGATCTTCATCAAGATGCTTTGAACTTGAGGAAAAGCTATTCTCCACACCTGTGGAAGAAACGAGATTTGCTGTGGTGATTAAATCTTTGCCCAGTAGGGCAGGCATGATGGTGCACACCTGTGCTCCTAGTACTTAGGGGGTGAATCGGGGAGGACCAGGAGTCTTGGCCAAACTTGCCTTCGGGCCAAAGTCATGGCCAGCTTGAATGACACGATCCTGTCTCAAAAATAAGTAACTTCTATCCATGTCTCACCCCACCATGAAGGATACAGTCCAAGACTCCAATGGCTACCTGAAGCTGTGAACAGAACCAAAGCCCTTGTATGCTTTTTCTCATATGTACATATGTCTTTTCCATTTTAACTGTTACTTATCATGCAAGGTGGCCATAACTCTTACCGTCTGTGGTATAATACCAAACAGGCACTGATTTTGTTTGTGGCATGGATAGAAGATTGACTCTAGGGCTGAGGCTAAAGTTCAGTGGCAGAGCAAAGGGCCCGAGTTCAGTTCATCCCAACTGTACATCATACCAACCTCAACACTCAATCCCTTTCTTCCTATAGTCAAGGACATTTGGCTTACCACTTAAAAGAAGTGCCTCATGTCTTTTCTCTGCCATAGTTAAACTGACTGCAGCACTACACAGGCTTTGGAGCCAGTATTAAAAGAACAAGCAGACCCCTCTCCCAAAGACGTCATGTCACTATTAGGAGAATTGTCAGATCATTGACAGCTAGTGTGTGCACTTTAGGAAAGACAGCCTGCAGCTGGAAGAAATCCTTTGCCTATCATGCATATGGCACAGAATTAATATAGAGAATATAAAAAGAACCCCTCAAAATAAACAAGAGAAGGAACAACCCAATCCAAAATTTGGCTGTATTGGCTGGGCGTGGTGGCACATACCTATAGGACCAGCACTCAGGAAGCAGAGGCAGGTGGATCTCTGAGTTTGAGGCCAACCTGATTGACATAGCAAGTTCTAGGACAGCCAGGGCCACGTAGGAAGACCTTGTCTCAAAAAGTCAAGAAGGAGAAAAGAGGAGGAGAACAACAACCCAATAAATATTTTTTTAAAGTGTTCAACATCCTTATCCATCAAGGAAAGACAAACCATAACTACTTGGAGATTCTATGTCATTGTCATCCCAGGTGGAAAGCAAATGACAGCAAATGCTAGTAAGGACGTAGAGAAAGGGAATGTGTCAGTAGGAGTGTAAATTAGTGCAGCTACTATGGAAGTCAGTGTGGAGGTTTTGCAAAAAGAAAAAAAAAACTAAAAATGAGATTTCCAATGACACAGCTACAGCATTCCTTACTTGCTCATCTGCATTGATGGCTGCTCTAGTCACACTAGCAAGAAAATGGATCTGCCTAGATGTCCATCAATAGATGAATATGGAGCAATTAACACCGTGGAATTTTATTCAGCCACAAGGGCAAATGAAGTGACAGTATCTGCAGGAAAATGAATGGAACTGAAAAATATGTTAAGTTACCCAGGTCCAGAAAGCCAAAACACCACATGTTCTCTCTCACATGAGGACTCTATTTCCTAATCTTCATGTGTGCACATTTATGTGGGAGTCTGTGTATACGGAGCATAGGAAACTAGAAACCGGCTCACAAGATGGAGGAACGAGTCTGTAAGAGTAAGAAGGAGTGGGCTGGAGAGATGGCTCAGCGGTTGAGTGCATACTGCTTTTCATGACGGTTTGAGTTCTGCTCACACACCCACAACTGCCTGCCAATAACTCCAACTCCAGTGGAGCTGATGGCCACTTCCGGCCTCCTCAGGCTCCTGCATCCATGAGCACATACCAATATCCACCCCCAACACACACATGCACACATACACATTTTTTAATAAAGTAAATATTTTTTTAAAGAGTGAGAAGGAAGATCTGGACATGGTGGTGCAAGCCTTTAGTCCCAGCACTTGGGAGGCAGAGGCAGGGGGATCACTGTGAGTTCAAGCCATGCTGGTCTACAGAGCGAGTTCCAGGATAGCCACAGCTATATAGTTAGACTGTGTCTCAGAAACAAATAAGGAAGGAGGATAGAGTTCACAGAGTAAAAAAGAAAAAGTAGAGTCAGGTGGTGGTGGCACATGCCTTTGATCTCAGCACTTGGGAGGCAGAGGCAGGCGGATCTCTGTGAGTTCGAGGCCAGCCTGGTCTCCAGAGTGAGTGCCAGGATAGGCTCCAAAGCTACACAGAGAAACCCTGTCTCGAAGAAACCTTAATAAATAATTTAATTTTTTTTAAAAAGGGGAAGGCTGGGGGGTGGGAGCAATAAGGTGACAAGGGGAGAATGGGTAAGAGGGAGGGAGGGAGGGTCCGCCAAAGCTAACAGTGTGTGAAAGCCCTAAGGAAACATGACATGTGCTATTCTTAAAATTTGTGTATGTATGGATGTATATGCCCTGATGTGCATGGAGAGGTCAGAGGTCAGAGGACAATCTGCAGGAGTCACTTCTCTCCTCCTACCACGTGGGTCCTGGGGCTCAAACTGACATCATCAAGCTTGCTGGCAAACACCCTTACCCACTGAGCCATCCTGCTGGCCTTTGGTAAGCTAATTTTGAAAATAAAAATTTGGAAACAGTTTGAAGGTACCCTGTATGGACATACAAAGTTATTCCAGAAGCCATGGCCTATTAAATCAAAGTCTCAGTGCCAGGAGTGGGCTGCCTCTCTACTATTTGTTTAGAAAGTCTTCTGAGGTCCCCACAGAATTGTGGAGAATTGCCATGACTGTTGGTCTATCCCATTACTAAAGATATCACATGAATCTGGTAGCAAGACAGAGAAATGAAGCCAGGCTGGACTGGAAGTTTCCCCCCAGCCATAGTGTTGGAAGGCACTTTTCAGGCTGTTGGGGAGAAATTGTCATTGTCATTTTCTCTTTATTTATTTTATGTGTATGAATGTTTTTCCCTACATGTATGTAAGTATAACATGTACATGTGTCAGATCCCCTGGAACTGCAGTTACGGATTATTAATGAGCTGCCATGTGGGTGCTGGCAATCAAACCTGGGTTCTCTGCAAGAACAACAAGTCCTCTTCATCAGTGATGCATCTCTACAGCCCCTGTTATCAAGTCTCACTCAGGTGGGTCCTGCACACCACTCCACCAAGTAGCCATTCAAACTATACTCAATGGCGCAACAGTGGCAAGTCTGTTATGGGGGCAACCAACCAGCTTCTAATTAGATTTGAGGCCCGCTCTAGGGGAGAGAATTCATGTCTGGTAACTTAAGCCTGCTCAAAAGCCCATGGCTGGGGAGGTTGTGGGCTCTAGTTTGGAAGCTACTGCTATTGCCCTGCTCTGCAGTCAGGATGGGCCTGTCAAGTAACTCTGTTTACGTCTACACAACAGCACTGTCTCAATCAGAGGAGCTTCTGTTTGCAGCGAGCAGGGTGGACGACAGAGGCTCATACTTGGTCAAAGCGATGAGAATAGTGAATTTTGAATTCTCATCCATACATGGGGCATCTACATCATCCCTTCCAAGCCTCAGGGAACTCTGCAGAAGGGAAGATGAGAGTTTAAGTGCTGGAGGAAGGTGGAGAGTGTGTGGAGGAATGACTTCTGGGTATGATGTGGCCATCACACTCTTGTACACATCGCAGCCGTGATTATCCGCACAAAATCTCCACATTAGGCCAGCCGGCATCCTGTCATGGAGGGGGTGAGTCCACAAGGTCTCACCCTTCCCTGAAGATTTATAAGCAGTTGATGAGAGTGGGGCGGGGGTGGGCAGTTTCTTCAGTGGATCCAACACTAGTAAGACACTTCTGTAGACAACTCCTCACCCATCCTCCTGGAAGCAACCTAATGAAACTCACTGGCTATTTTTTTTTAAAGAGATGAAATTACAAGAGGGACTAATTGGCATGAGGAAGACAACTGGAGAGAGTGGTAAGGGAACAAGAGAATGTAACGGGTGGATATGAACAAATACATACAAGTACAAAAATGTCATAATGAACCTGTTTGCATAGTTAATACATACTAATTTTTTGTTTGATTTTTCAAGACAGGGTTTCTCTGTGTGGCTTTGGAGCTTGTTCTGGAACTCTGTAGACCTCACTCTGTAGACCAGGCTGGCCTCGAACTCATAGAGATCTGCCCGCCTCTGTCTCCCAAGTGATGGGATTAAAGGTGTGCGCCACCACACACAGCTTAGCATATACTAATTTTTAAAATATGTATGTGTGGACAAGATTGGGATGATTTGTGCATAGCTGTTCTTTCTGTTGATCTTCCTACTTCTGAGATGTTTGAAAATATTTTATAATGAAGAGTTGACATTTCTAAGTCTGAATCATCTTATGAAGCTCTAGAATTTGAGGATACAACACAGGTAGATAAACCCAGTGGGTCAGAAAAACAAAGCAAAAAAGGAAAACTTCCCTTAAGATATCCCCTTCTCCCAAGGAGTCCAGCCTCATGTGAACTGAGGGAAGTAGAGAAAGTAGGAGGGCTCACCGTCCCAACCTCGGCAGGAGGGGCCCACCAGCCGGTCTGGCTGGGGCTCCCTGTAAATCTTCCATCCCTCCAGTTGCCATGACAATATACTTGTGATGGTACCTTCAGTCACAGAGATAGAGTGGGGCTCTATGCTCCACGGGCTTCCCAGGAAGAGAACAAAGGAGAAGAACACAGTGTCGCTCATCTTTGCCACGGCCAGCACACCATCAGTGGGGAGCCATTCTCCTGCATTTCTTGAAGGCGAAACATCCTTGAGTTCTAGGGTGTTGTGGAATCTGTGCTCTGTGAGGTCATACTGGGAAAAGAGTGTGTCTGTAGTCAGGGACCGAGAGGGATGTTAGAGACATTCCAACCGTCTCACTGTTCATTTTCTTGGCTCTTTGAGGCCTCCTTCAATCCTGCATGCCCTGCAACTTGAGATGGGAATGAATCAATAGGACTCTTAGGATTCACAGGACAAAATGCAACTGTGTCCTCTTAAACCAAATGGAAGCAGCTAGAGCCACCAGGAATACTGTATTGATAACGTATCACATTGACAGGCAGGATGTACCTTGGTGGTAAAAGGCTTGCTTGGCATATAGGAAGCCCTGAGTTGGACCCTCAGCACCAAGAAAACAAAAGGATATCACATTAATGAAGTGTAGTCACTATAGACTGAACCTGGAAGGCCCACATGTTAAAGATCTGGTCATCAGCCCATGGCTTATGACTGGAGATGATCTACTATTTAGGAGACAGGTTTTAGCTGGAAGATCACTTGAGGGGATCTCTTATAGGAATGGAGTGCTCATACATTTGAATGCTTAGTCATCGGGGCGTGGCACTACTTGAGAAGGATTGGGAGGCGTGGCCTTGTTGGAGTGGGTGTGGCCTTGTTGAAGTGTGGCACTGTGGCTTTGAGGTTTCAAAAGCTCAGGCCAGGTCCAGTGTTTCTCTCTCCCTGCTGCCATGGATCTGGATGTAGAACCCTCAGCTACTTCTCCAGCACCATGCCTGCCTGTGTGCCGCCATGCTTCACACCATCATGACAATGGACTGAACCTCTGAAACTGTAAGCTAGCCCCAATTAAATGTTTGCATTTCTAAGAACTGCCATTGTCATGGTGTCTCTTCACAGCAATAGAAAGGTGACTAAGACAAAGGGATATTGGGACCCTGCCCCACTCTGCTTCTTGGCCATCATAAGAGGAGCAGATTACTCTGTCAAGTAATCCTACTCTCCACCATGGTGTTCTGTCTCACCACAGGCCTAAAAGCGATGGGTCCATAGACTGGAGACTGCAAAGCCAGGAGTCAAAGTGATAACTGGCTACCCAGTACAACAAAAGTGCAGCACCAGAAAGAATATAAACGAGCCAGGTGTTGTAAGGAGACACTGTAACCACGCCCCCTAAGGGCTGGCTACAGGTGTGCCTAACCACGCCTGTCAGGGCATGGTCAAGGTGAGGTCAGGATGACTTGTGATGGGTTTTTAAGGGGCTGCAAGGCACGATGTGGCCCCTTCTCTCTGGCCTGCCTGCCTTGAGGCCGCTGGCACGCTCTGGCTTGCATTTGGCTGGTGTTTATATAAGGTGTTGTCTCGAGCCCTTACCAGGTTTTGACCTGGGAGGAATGACAAACTCAGCAAGTTGGTTTTGAGTATAAGTTTTGCACTTATGTCAAAGCAACACACAAGCATAAGCAAACAATCCTAAGAACCACAGACAATAGGCTCACAGCAGGGGGTACCTCTCCTCCAGCGGCCAGCAGGTTGGGGCTCGGGACTTCTGCTCTTCTGGATTCAGGCCAGCGAGTCTCCTGAGGGCCCGGTGTCCATGGAATCGGGCTCAGAATGGGGCAGCACTCAGCTTGATGGACTGGTTGTCAGGTTAGTGGAGGACAGCTCCAGGACATAGAGTCATGGTACACTCTAAAATTCCCAGGTCTGAGCTGGTCCTTAAATAGTTCGCTAAATGGTGCTAATCATACTTTGCCACACTCCACACATTTTCACTCTTACCTACAACGGCTGGGCTGCATAGTGGGCCTACGCTCCCTTTCCTTTAATCTTTCTTCAGCCAGGCCTTTGCCTGCCTGGTTACAAGGCTCCTTACAGGTGTGGTGGTGCACACTTTTAATCCCAGCTCTTGGGAGGCAGAAACAGGCAGACCTCTGTGATTTCAAGGCCAGCCTGGTCTAGAGTGAATTCCAGGACAACCTGGACTACATAGAGAAACCCTGTCTCAAAAAAACAAGAAAGGTGAGCATAAATGTTTTGATGCAATCGTGTCATTTCTCATAGGACACTATGTCCTCTGTTAAGTTTTAGAAGCATTGGACTGTTTCAAGAGACTATTTGAATATATTTAACTATACATTTTCTAGTATTTTTCCTTTAGTGCTAGTCTCACAAATTATGTAGCCAGCCCTGTATGTGCAGTGGTTATGGCCAGGGGATAAGCAGCGTGAAGGGGGCAGGAGGGAGGTCGGGGGGGGGGGGGGGGAGCTGGAGACAAGGCTTAGCAGTCAACAGCATTTGTTGTGCAAACTTATGCATCCTTATGGATTGGAGTTCAGATCCTAGCACCCACATAAAAGCTAAACATGGTCCTGAGCACACCTGTAACCATAGCACTAAGATGGGAAGAGACAGGATTGCTGGGTCTTGTGACCAAAACCTAAGTGAAAACTGAGAGCTTCAGGTTCAGTGAGAGACCCTGCCTCAGCGGAACAAGGAAAGTCATAGACACATGTGCACAATCACATGCAGACGTGATTTATAGGAGACACAGAACTCTTGCTAAACCCTCTGCATTAGCTTGCTACAGCCACTATAGCAATGTACCACAAAATGAGCGATGTAATCAATTTATTCCCTCACTGCTTGGTCTGAAGTCTGAGATCAAGATACTGAAAACACTGAGTCTTTCTTCAGGACAAGAGGAAAAGATGTCTTCTAGGACTTGGCCTAAAGGCAGCCATCTGCTCCCTATGCCTACATCACTTTCCCTCCAATGGATCCAATGGCCTCTTACAAGGACATCTTCTGCCACACTGGATTAGAGTCCACCCTCGTAGCCTCATTTTGACTTCCTTACCTCTGTAAAGATTCTAAATCCAAATACACTCATATCTAAGGCCCCAAGGTTAGGATTTCAGCATCTAAATTCGGACACAAATCAACCCATCACATCAGGGATAGCTTATTTCTCTAAAATACCCTCAAGAAAACAAACACTAGAACACACACACACAAACACACACACACACACACACAACACAACACAACACAACACTCACACCCTTAGCAAAGACAGAAGACAGAAAATATCCAACTTCAAATGAGTAAAAGGAAAAATAACTGCTAACTTGGGCGGTATCTCTTTTACTTCTGATGCTGGCCTCTACAAAGTAAAACACAGCAGCCCAAGATGGTCTAAATCTCTACTCCATAGATTTGTGTTTTACTTTATACTTAACACTTCATAAGATGTAAAATATCATTGTAAAAACAGCACATTTTATGTGTATTCTATAGGTAAAGTATTATTTGTATGAAATCTCAACTCAAAAAAGTAGTTTATGGTACTTGGGAGGTAGAGGCAGGCAGATCTTTGTGAGTTTGAGGACAGCCTGGTCTATATAGCAAGTTCCAGGACTACTTAGACCCTGTCTCAAAAAAAAAAAAAAAAAAAAAAAAAAAAAAAAAAAAAAGCAGTTTAAGAGACAGCAAGATGGCTCCTCGGGTGAGAACATTTGCCACCAAGCCTGATGACCTGAGTTTAATCCACGGAACCTACACAGTGAATAAGAGGACCAACCCCATCAAGTTGTCCTCTGACCTCCACATGCATAACAGAGCATGCATACACACACATACAAGGACACACACACACACACACACACACACACAAAAGCACATACAGAATAATTTTAATACAAGCAATGTTTACAATAATGATCTTTGTCTATATGAGGCATCATTACAGAATAATAGTTTGTGGTTTAAATTAGAAATTAGTGTTTAACAAGACCTACTCTAGAAAAGCTACAGGCAATTAATGGTTACTGGGAGAAAGAGAATCAACCTATCATCATACCTCCAGACTTCATATGAAGTAAATTTTTAAATGTATTTGTATTTTATGTACATTGGTGTTTTGCCAGCATGTATATCTGTGAGAGGGTGTTGGATCCCCTGGAACAGGAGTTAAAGACAGTTGTGAGATGCCATGTGGGTTCTCTGGAAGAGCAGCCAGTCCCCAGCTCCTGGAGTAAATTTTTATAAAATACAGACTACCTTGATTTTTTTGTTTTTTTCAAGGCAGGGTTTTGTTTACCACTCTAATTGCTCTAATTGGTGGTATGAATCTGCCTAGAAATAAAATTCTTTACATTAGAAATACTGAAAATGGCTGGGCAGTGGTGGCGCACGCCTTTAATCCCAGCACTTGGGAGGCAGAGACAGGAGGATCTCTGAGTTTGAGGCCAGCCTGGTCTCCAGAACAAGTGTCAGGACAAGCTCCAAAGCTACACCGAGAAACCCTGTCTCAAAAAACAAACAAACAGGGCTGGAGAGATGGCTCAGCGGTTAAGAGCACTGACCTCTGGAAGACCAGAGGTCCTGAGTTCAATTCCTGGCAACCACGTGGTGGCTCACAACCACCTTGAATGAGATCTGGTACCTTCTCCTGTCATGTAAGCAGAAGATTGTATATGTAATAAATAAAAATCTTTTAAAAAACAAACAAACAAACAAACAAAAGATGCTGAAAATGGGTCCAGGTAAACAGAACAAACACTTCTGAGTGGGAAAGACCTGGGAATGAATTTGGATGGGACTGCAGCCCAGGTAGAGGCTGAGCATGGCTGAGAGTCATTTACCTTAAGATTTCATACAATCCTGTGCTTTGTTTTATTTACATGTATTTTTTTAATTTGGGGTGTGTGTGCACTGTAACTTCATGTTACAGTGCATATGTGGAGGTCAGAGGCCAACTTGCAGGAGTCATTTCTCACCCCCACCATGTAGAAGAGCCCAGGGATAGAACTCTGGCCGTTAGGCTTGGCAGCAAGCATCATTACACATTGAGCCTTCTTGCTGACCCAGCTCTGTGGCCTGTTAGAAACCAAAACAAGCTGGGCATTGGTAGCACACGCCTTTAATCCCAGCACTCGGGAGGCAGAGGCAGGCGGATCTCT